AGCTTTTCTTGGACTGAAAATGGTGTTGTAGATATGTGATAACATCCTTAGGCTTCCTAGAGTACTTTAGAGATAAAAAATATCAGAATCAAGCCAAGTGCAGTAGCGTACACCTTTAAACCCAGCACTCATGAGGCAGATCTCTGTGAAATGAAGGCCAGCCTAGTCTACATAGCAAGCTCCAGGCCAGCCAGAGCTACAAAGTAAGAACCTGTCTCAAAACAAAAGTCCGGATATCTGGCAATTCCTCTGAGATAAGTCTTAAAGCAGAAATAAAGACCAGGCTGAATGTGAAGTGCTTGTCTTTCAGCTGCTATTCATAATTGACATATTTCAAAAATAGAAATCAGTAGGAGCTGGGTGTGGTGGTGCAAGCCTGCCTCCTGTGCAGCACACAGGAGGCAGAGACAGGTGTATCTCTGTGAGTTCAAGGTCAGCTTAGTCTACAAAGTGATACCAGGACAGCCAGGGCTCTGTTACACAGAGAAACCCTGTCTTGAAGAACTGGAAAAACAAACAAACAAACAAACAAAAAACAGTAAGAAAAAAATTCCCAAAGAAAAAGAACATACATATCTTTTTCTGTTTGGTTTGTTTTTACTTTTAGCAAAAAACAATTAAAAAAATGTATGTTTGGTCAGGTGCAGTGTGAGGCAGAGACAGGCAGATCTCTGTGAGTTTGAGGCCAGCCTGGTCTACAAATCAAGTCTAGGATAGGCAAGGCTACACAGAGAAACCCTGTCTTGAAAAACAAAAAACAAAAGGAAAATAAAGAAAAAAGAATGAAAGAGAAAGAGAAAAGAAAGAAAGAGAGAAAGAAAATGTTTTCGAAGTTGCTCACATTTTATGTTCATTAGGATGGCCACCACTAAAAAGGAAAGAAGGGCCATGCATGATTGCATATGCTTTTAATCTCAGCACTCAGGAGGCTGAGGAAAGTCAACCTTTCTGTGGAGAAATAGTTCCGACATAGGTCAAGAGTAATTGGCGCTCTTCCAAAGCACCTGGCTTTGATATCCCAGCACCCACATGGCAGCTCACAACTATCTCTAACTTCAGTTCCAGGGGATTCAATGCTGTCTTCTGGCCTCATCAGGCACCAGGCATGTATGTGGCTCACAGACCTACATGCAGTCCAAATATCCCTGTGCATAAAATAAAATTCAAAACTACAAAATTACAAAAAAAAAAAAAAAAAAAAAAAAGTAGAATTGGAACTGCAATGGGGTAAATCCAGGAACTAGCTGCAGATGACCCCTCCTTCTAAGTCTCATTCCTCGAATTATGTAAAGGAGGTAGTACAAAGTTGTGCAGACAAAGGAAGTAAAGTACTTAAGTCAGGAGGCTGGCATTTTGAAACACTAAGATCTTAAGTTTGAAGCCAGCCTGGGCAACATAACAAAACCCCATCTCAAAAACCAAACATGTTAACACTTAGGAAGCTGAGGCCCTAAATTCAAGGCCAGTATGGATTACAAAATAAGACCAGAAAGGTTAGAGTGAGACCGTATTTCATAAAGATAACAAAAACAGGCTGGGAAACAGAGTTTGCTAAATGCTTGCTACAAAAGCTTAAAGAGCTTAGGATATGATGTAAAAAGCTAGTTATGGCAGTAGTAATTCAGTGCTGGAGAGGCAGAAACAGAATTCCTGGGGCTTGGGGATGGCCAGTCCAGCTGAATCAGGGAGCCCCAGGTTCAGCAAGAGATTATATCAAAACCATGGTGGAAAAGAAGCAAGAATGATATCTACTGTCAGTCACGCACATGTTACACACCAACACATACACAAGTATAAAACATACAGGGGAAAGAAACCACAACTATTGAAGTTGTGTGTAAAATTAACCATTATGGTGGTTAATTTTAGCTTTTGCTTGTTTTACTTATTTATCTCTTGAGACAGGGTCTCACTATGTAACTCTAATTGTCCTGGAACTCACCAAGTAGACCAGGCTGGCCTCAAACTCACAGAGATCCATCTGCCTCTGCTTCCTGAGTGCTGGGATTAAAGAAGTGCACCATTATGCCCCGCCTCTGATGGCTAATTTTAGGTGTCAATGTGACTAGATTAAGGATACCTAGAGCAATACCTTTTTACAGCAGAGACTGGCTTGAAAATCAGTGGACTAAATGGGTAAGATCCAGTCTCACCTCCTAATCATGAGAACTCAGGCTCGCTGGCCCTTGGGCTTACACCAAACTCCCTGGGGTTCTCAAGCCTTGAGCCTCAAGCTGACAATTACACCGTTAGCCTTCCTGGTTTAAGCATTCAGACTTGCCCTGAGCCACACTACTGGAATCCCAAAATCTTCAGCTATTAGACTGCCTGTCATGGAATTTCTCAATCTCTACAATCAACTTTCCTACTCTTCTCCTGTATAGCTACACTGTGTTGGTTCTGTCTCTCTAGAGATGACAGGAGTGACAAATTCCAGCTCTAGTGTGTGCGACAGACAAACCAACCCCCAGTTCTTCCTAATGGGCTAAGTACTGACATGGAGTCAGGCAAAAAGCCACTGGAAAACACTGGAAGGGCTGTAGAGCCTAATGGAAAGCCAAAAGCAAACACATGGTGAAGGCAGGTTGTTGTTAGTGACTTTCTTTCAACCAAGCAATCTACATCTTGGGGTGTTGAGAATTATCTCGGTTGGGCTTGCTGACTGTTAACATCCCCTCATGGATGTAATGTCTGATCCCACCCGAGTACAGCACCACTGTATGCAACACTGCCTTATTTGCAAGTGGTTTCAGGGATAAAAATAGGCTGGGCAAGACTAGGGAAAGGAGACTCGCCCTCATCCCTACTAGGCAAAGGCTTTTCAGATATTGACTGTTGGAGAAGAAGCACCCACACCCAGGAAGTAATTCCTCATTTATGCTTTTCGAGAAAGCCCAATAAACTCAGAGTGAAGTCTGGTGGAATTATGCATTCGGTTATTGTTAAGACCTTAGGAGGAGGGGTAGACACTGTTCACCTGTCCTCCTGGGAAGGAATTTTAGCAAGTGTTTATAAGTCAGAAAATGGTTAATTAGGAAAAAGATGACTGTAAGCATCACACAGATCTGTGGAGAGTGTTGATATAGTAATAATTTTCTAGCTGTGGGCCTTAGCATTCCGAGGGCCCCAGAGGAGCAACTGTCGCCTGTGCAAACATCTAGATGGCATTGTAACAGGGTGAGGAGTGAAGCTTCATAGCATCTTGGAAGCAGGTATGTGCATAAGGACATGGAAAGCAATGTGGCAAATGCTGGCAAGTGATATGCTCATCACACACTATTCTTTCAACTTCCAGGGGTTTTAAATCCACAGTGAAGTAAAAAGAAATACTCTGTCCCCCCAAAACGGCAGTCATGGTGATGCAAGACTTTAATCCCAGCACTCAGGAGGGAGAGGCAGGTGGATCTCTGAGGTGGAGGGCAGCCTGGGCTACAGAGTAAGTTCCAGTATAGCCAGGGCTACACAAAGAAACCCTGCCTTGAAATATCAAAAAGAATGACAAAAAAAAACAACTATTTTCACCAAAATATTGCATCTGTATTAGAATACTCATTTATAAAGTACAACACTGCAAATCAAGCCAGTCATGATCCAGTTTTGAAAAATGAGAATATGCCTGTTAGAGGTTGGTCTGATGCTCATTACTGACCCTCTGTGTAAACCTGCCTAAGTCCTTATACCTGACTGGCTGATTGCCTAGGGCAGGGCAGAATGGGATAGGCATAGCTAGGGTTCCTGGGCTTCGGGGAATCCCAAAGGGAATCACAGGAAGGACAGACAGACGGAAAGAGGAGGATGCCAGGATGGGTTAGCCTGGAGAAAACACCATGTGGGCTCTAGTAATGTCATAAAAAGGTCCAGATGAAGAATATAAGCAAGTACCATGAGATTATGGATGAAAGGTAGTCCAAATGAAGAGGATTAAGGTGGATGGCAATGGATGGGGGCTGGGAGATGGATGGTGAGGATATTGAGACATTGTAAGTGGAATATCTGCCCGGCCCAAGGTAAATAAGGCAATTATAAATCTAACAGGTGCCTGTGTCTTATTATTTGTGATAGCAGGTTAGATAACAATGTCATGATAATCACAGGGCTAATAGTCAATAGTATATAGCCCCACACTGTTCTACTATTTACTACAAGACATGCCCAACAGAGAGAAAAACTGACAGGCAAACTCTTAAGACCTCTTCTCTGCTGGGCTGGTTGATTGAGTCGCCACAACAGAGACTAAGGAAAGAGAAGACTCAGCCACCTTCAGTGTCAGTACTCCCACTTGGTAACGTCAGAACTACCTATTATTAGCCCTACAGGGAAGAGTTTCAAAAGGCCCCTCCTTCCTTGAGAATCGATAGGTAGTTAGTCAATGGCTGCTGAAGGAGGGAAAGACATCTGCTCAAGTGGTATAGCCAAATGGAAAGGTGCTCAATTCACCTAAATAACCTCTCACCCAACTCCCCTGTCAGAGACCCCAGTATGTGCAGTGGGGTCAGCAAAAACAAAACAAAAATGTAGGAAAAGGAAGGCAGTCTCTGGGAGTGAAAAAGAGAGTATTAAGGTGAATATGATCAATACACATTATATACATGTATGAGTATCATAATGAAAGCACTATTATTTATAGTTAACGTATGCTAATAAAAACATTGAAAAAAGGCTGGAGAGATGGCTCAGTGGTTAAGAGCACTGTCTGCTCTTCCGAAAGACTGGGGTTCAATTTCCAGCACCCACATGGCAGCTCACATCTGACACCTCCATACTAATGCACATAAAATTAAATTAAATAAATTATTTTAACACGGGGGGGGGGGGGAACAAGCATAAGCCAAGCACAGTGGCACACGCCTTTAATCCCAGCACTTGGAAGGCAGAGGCAGGCAGAATCTGAATTTGAGGCCAGCCTAATCTACAGAGTGAGTTCCAGGACAGCCAGGGCTACACAGAGAAACCCTGTCTCTAAAAACAAATAAAAGAAAAAGTAACTATAGGTACCTTACCTGAAGTAATCGCATGATGCTGCCAGCAGAATTCGATGAGCCTCAATGTGTTTTCCTTCCACCACCAGGACAACATCAAAGAGGATCCCACTGTCCCGCAAAGCAAGCAGGCCTCGGAGCAGGGCCTGGGAGTGCTGTGTGCTTCGGTAAGTGTTGTTGACGCAGTGGGAGTGGGAGGGCTGTGTGGGCAGCTTGCACAGCTGGGCGAACTCCTGCTCCTCTGCCATCCTGACGGCCACAGCAGCCCTCACCACTGTACTCAGCTGCAAGACAGAGGGAGCAAGGCGTGAGCAGGTAGGGAGGTGGTGCGGGGCCACACAGGCTGACCGCGTGGCACCTGCTGCAGAGACTTCCCTGTGGTCCCAAAGCCTCTACTCCCTGTTTCCTCCCAGCCCTGGTCCCACTTGGCCTTCTGTCTCATAACCTGGTGTCTTCATCCACAAGGTCTTCATCCTACTGTGCCACCTTCAGCTCTGCAGTGAAACAGAAGTATTCTGAGGCTGGCATGATGACTCACAAAGTTATCTCAGTTACTTGGAAGGCTGAGACTGGATGATCACAAATTCAGGGCAGACCAAAAAATTAGAGAGACCTTGTCTCAAAATAGAATTGAAAAGGACAGGGGTATGGTTCAGGAAAGCACTTACCTCACACACGTGAGGTCTAAGATTTGATCCCCAGCACCAAAGAGAGGAGTTTTGAGGGAAGATTTGAGACAGGATAGAAAGACAATGAAAATTAAGAGAACATGGGGATGCCAGGTACGGTGCTGCACGCCTGTGATGCCAGCACTCAAGAGGCAGGTGAGTTCAAGGCCAGCCTGGTCTACAGGGCGAGTCCAGGACACCCAAGGCTACACAGAGAAACCCTGTGGAGGAGGGAGGAGGAGAACATGGGGAGACAAAGCAGTCTCTCCCCCCATGATCAGATTTATTTTTTATTGGCTGGGCGTTAAGGACTTCAATGTAACTAAGAAAAACACCAGAAATGGCCCTCAACAATATTCTCCTTCCTGAGGGATATCTCAGACAAGAGTACTAAAACAAGCCAGGCATGGTAACTCATGCCTTTAACCCCAGCACTCTTGAGTTGTAGGCCAGCCAAGTCTATACAGCAAACAAGCTCCAGGCCAGCCAAGGCTACCATAGTGGGACTATCTCAAAAACAAACAAACAAACAAAGCAACAAAGTGCCTAAACAGCAAACAGACTTTGTTTATGACCCAATCTATATAACCTCTGTGTAAGTTTACAGTTATTAGCTCTTCCTTATCCCTAAAGCTAAACAATGTGTCTCATTAACACTACATTTACATACATTCATTCACATGCAAAAGGAATTTTTTGTTTTGTTTTTCCAGAGTTTCTCTGTGTACCCTTGGCTGCCCTGGACTGGCTTTGTAGATCAGGCTGGCCTCCCTGAGTGTGCCACCACACCCAGCTAAAAGGAAAATCTTTAAGAAAAAGAAATAGGTGCCAGAGAGATGGCTCAGTGATTAAGAACACTGGCTGCTGCACTTCTAGAGGACCCAGGTTCAATTCCAGCACCCACATGGTTCCTCACACTGTCTGTAACTCTAGCTTAAGAGGATCCAATGGACTCCACAGGCACCAGGCATGCACACGGTACACAGGCATACTTGCAGGCAAAACACCCATACATAAAATAAAGATGAATCTTTTGCTGGGCATGGTGGCATATGCCTTTAATCCCAGCACTTGGCAGTGGCAGGTGGATTTCTGTGAGTTTGAGGCCAGCCTCATCTATAAAGCAAGTCCAGGACAGCCAAGGCTACACAGAGAAACCTTGTCCTGGAAGGAAAAAAAAAAAAAAAAAAAAAAAGATCATGTCCTGTTCTTCCACAGGACCACAGTTCAATTGCCATCATTCATATCAAGAAGCTGTCTGTAATTCCAGCTCTAGAGGGATCTGATTTCTCTAGTTTTTGTGAGCACCTCCACTCACATGTACACAGACATAAACACACTCACTCACACACACACTCACACACACACAATTAATACATATCTTAAAAAAATCAAGGCCATCCTTTTCTACAAAGGGTACCTGAGGGTAACCTGATCTATAGGAGACCAATGTCCAAAAACATAAATAAAATAAAATAAAAGAACATACTCAAAAACTACAAAATGATTTGTTTTGTTTTGTTTTTTCAAAAAAACAGGTTTGTTTCTTATCATCCTATTCTGGCCAAGATCTAGCTGATCACATCTACCTGGCATCTTCATACCATTTCAGCAAACATGATCTGCTGGTGAGCCTGTGTTCTCAAAACTTTTGTCTCCGAAGCACCTCAGGGTTACTTTCTATGGCCACATCTGCTAACCATCTCTAGGTACTTGGCTGTTGACTCCAAAACGCAACTTCCTGGAGGGCTTCTTCATCTGCGATGACAATGTGAACTAACTGACTTCTGCATCCTCATGTCAGCTGAACAGCCTGTCTGCCCTCTTGGAAAGGGTTTCTCTGTGTTGCCTTGGCTGTTCTGTACTTGCTTTGTAGACCAGGCTGGCCTTGAACTCACAAAGATCTGTCTGCCTCTACCTCCCTGAGTGCTAGGGTTAAAGGTGTATGCCACCAACCCCAGCTGCAACATGATCTTAAAAGCAGCCATAAAACAAAACAAAAAAACTACTACAAATATGCCTTTGATAACACCACACACACACAATGAATAAACCAGAAGCTATTATGCATAGCATAGTCATCTACTAGGGGTTAGGAAGCAAGCAGCCTGGAGGTACCCGGTCTGCAGCCAACCGTATGCTTTTGTAGCACAGGTCAGCCATTTAGAAGGCCGTGAACCTTCTCCACCCCATGCCACGTTCCTTACAGCTCCCACAGTCAGTGCACTGGCTCAGCAGTAAAGACATCTGTTCTACAAGCCTGGCAAATTGAGTCCAATGCCTGGAACCCATATGAAGATGGAAGGAAAGACTGGACTCCACAAAACTGCCTTCTGACCTCTACACACACTCGCATACAGCGATAATAAATAAATAAGTAAATAAGTAAAGCTTAAAGATTTATTTTTACTTATGTGCAGTATGTGTGTAGGAGCCCTCAGAGGCCAGGAAAGGGTGTGAGATCCTCTGGAATGCAGTTGTGAGCCATCAACTGCGATGCTGGGAAGAAAACCCAGGTAAGCAGGAAGCACACTTAAGCCACTGAATCATTTCATTAGCCCCAGATACACATATTTAAAAAGGATAAACAGATGTTAACAGAAAACTAGCCCAAAGCCTTCTTACTACCGACAGAGAACACCTCTCCCTACCACTTACTACTGATGGGACACACTTCTCCCTACCACCCACAGACCTCCTCTTCTCGACCTTGTGCTCGAGAGCCTCTACGGTGTCCAATCACACAGGCTCACTTCTCTTCCACCTGTCTCCTGGATGTGGCACCTCTACTGCTTACCCACACTATCCTTCTATCCTGAATCAGCTCTTTTCTCACAAGGCTCTAGCAACGGTTAGAGCTGAATGTACCACCATCTCTGGGTTAAGAGCTCTCCAGCCTGGAGGGACTCTATCTTATAACTCCTCTTTTCCTGACCTCTTCCTTTCCTTCAGCCCATCCATTTCCCTAGGACATGATTTCCCAATAGCATCTCTGGGCACAATCCCTTCCAACTAGTCTGTTTTTGTCAGCCATATACTACATTTCTTATCTGAAACCTCCTACTCTCAATGATCTCTTTTCCTTTTTAAGGCTATGTTTTCTAAGATCCTTTGGTCTTGATTCTCCTCCTGTGTCTCACATAGCCATCCCCTTGATTTTCCAATGGCTATACCTTAATGGAAGAACATAGGAATTCTGTTCCAATGCTGTCCCTAACTCTCACCTCATTCTCTCACATTTCCAAGATGGACAGGAGACCAAAAATGCTCCTATGAGTGAGTGTGCTGTGTTTCCAAGTGCTGTCTCCTGGCTTCTCACTTCGGGCTCCCTATGACTTGGCTCAAAACCTTTCTTTCCTCTCCTGCCCAATCAGCTCTTCTCAGACTGAAAGGTACACATGTTTATCCTTTGAGCAGAACCAGATTTGTTTCTTATCATCCTATTCTGGCCAAGATCTAGCTGATCACATCTACCTGGCATCTTCATACCATTTCAGCAAACATGATCTGCTGTGTGAGCCTGTGTTCTCAATACTTTTGTCTCCGAAGCACCTCAGGGTTACTTTTTATGGCCACATCTGCTAACCATCTCTAGGTACTTGGCTGTTGACTCCAAAACGCAACTTCCTGGAGGGCTTCCTCAACTGCGATGACTATGTGAACTAACTGACTTCTGCATCCTCATGTCAGCTGAACAGCCTGTCTGCCCTCTTGGAAAGGGATGGATAGCATCTATTTTCTAAATAGCCACCACAAGAACAAGTACAGTAAAACAGAATGACGCTCCTCTGAGCAGCAGAGCACATTCACCAAGCTGGAGAAAAGGAATTCGGCACAACCAGGGCTGCAACAACATCCAAGATCTCTGGTACAGCCAGACACAGTGTTGATACAAGAGGATCACAAGTTTGAAGCCAGCCTGGAGTATGTAGAGACTTGTCATAAATAAATAAGAAAGGAAGGGATAGGGTTAGAGAGAAGGCTCAAAGCAGTTAAGAGCTCATACTATTCTTGCAAAGAACTGGCGTTTCATCCTGGGCACCTACATTGGCTGCTCAGTTCCAAGGGTCCTGACGCCCTCTTTGGGGCCTCCAGGGCACCTTCACTCAGGTACACAGACTTTTTTTTTTTTTTTTTTTAAAGATAAAACAGGAAGGATAGATACTCTGGTGACTGCAGATCTGTATGATATTCCTCTCCACTTTCCATTAACTTCTGCTTATAACTTCATGCCTCTCCCACAGTCCACTGTATAAACACGTTTTATTTAAGGGCCCCTGTCAAGACATCTGGGTTTCCTCCCATTGTTTGCTACTGCCAACAGTTGTGCACCGAATCTTCAATGAATCATTTGCTGAAAAGGCATCCTCAATCTTCTGTAGGGCTCCCATTCAGTATCTGTCCTCAACACATCCGTATCTACAGCAGTACAACAAAAGAAAAACCAGATGCTTGGAAAGAGCAGAAAAGGGAACGGTTCCTTATTTGGGGGCCGGTCTCCAAGGGGTGCAGATGTGCTCCGTGGCTTGTTCCCCAGGGCACTGACTAGGAGCATCTCGAAGATCGGCCCGACCCTAGGAAGCACCCTCGGGCAGAAGGTGGCCCCACTGCGCCCGGCCAGGTCGTTCCGTTCGGCCTGTACATCTAAAACGATCTAAACTAGTACAACCCGTTGATTTTGCACTGACAGCAAGAGTTCTCCGATCTATCAGCAACCGCAGCTGCGGCTTTAGAGTCTGAGGTCACGCCCGGCTCAGCAGCCCGGACCGCCCTGGCGCCTGTTGCAATCCCTGCTCGGGTAGCCTCGAGGGTCGGCGACAGGCCGGAGGCCACACTCGGACCCGCGGCTGGCAACAGAGCCTGGCCGACCCGGCTGCGAGGGCCACGGGCCGCCTCACCAGCGCGCAGGCCTCGGCCGGCCCGCGCCAGAGCGCCAGGCCCGCGCCGGACGCCCGGGGGTCGCCCCACCGAGCCCCCGCCACGTCAGGCAGTCACCTGCGCCGGCCCCGGGCGCCCGCCGCCGTCCCCGCTCCCTCTTCCATCCCCGCGTGCAGCGCGAGCTCGGCGACGAAGGCCCGCCGGGCCCACTCGGTACACGCCTCGCAGCTGACCTGGTGCCACCGCAAGCTGAGGCCGCTCTCGCAGCAGGCGGGAGGCTGGAGGTGGGGGCGGAGCCTCGCCGTCACGCGGGATGCCGCGCAGGCGCAAGTGGACGGCAGGGGGGCCGCCGGCGGGGCGGGGCGAGGTTAGAGAGCCGGACAAGGGTCGCTGGTCAGGAAGCGCCACCCCAGAGTGCAAACCTACGTCCTCCTCCTTTCCCTTTCTCCCTGCCTCATTCTTATAACTTCTTTGCTGGCTGGTTTCCTCACACGCATTCGCTTGCCCGTTCACTCATCGCCTCTCTGCACGCACTCGAATGTGTTTCACTCGTTCACTTGACCGTCCTTTTCCTTACTTCCCCCGTTCCCTCCTTCCTTCACTTTCCCATTTCCTTCCCCGTTCATTTCCGCATTTCTTCCTGCATTACTTCATTCCCTTCTTTATCATTTATCCATTGCTTCACTCATTTCATTACTTCACTTGTTCCCTCCTTTTCCTTCCTTAAAAGGCATCCTCAACCTTCTGTAGGGCTCCTTCCTTAAAAGGCATCCCTCTCTCCATCGCTCCCACACTCTCTTTCATTCTGTCTTTCTTTCCTGTATTTATTGTCGGAGTTCGTCCGTCTGCCCCTTATTTCCTCGTTTTCTTATTCCCTGGCAAAGGCATTCTCTCCCTGGTTTCTTCTCTCATTGCACTTTTCTCACATGGTCTACTCATCAGAAGGTCCCTCGCCTGGTGCTCGCTGAGGAGAGTTGAAACAAGCAAAGGCTTTATGAACAAGTATTGATTTTCCTCTTATCTGATTCCCAATCCAAAACTTACCTGTCACTGGCTGTCCTGAGGAGTCTTTTGGTACCCACGTTTCTCTGCCTCAACTCCAGGAGGACTGCACTCTGAGGGGCACTTACCTATGGCAGGATGCAAGAGTAAAGAAAGCTGTATGGCCTTCTTACCAATGGAAGCACGTTGTAGCTTCAGTGTGGAAAATGAAAGGAACCATAGAGGAAAGATGTCACTGACGATGGCTCCTCATATAAAAGGGAGGAAAGAAGGAAGAAGAAAATAAAGCGCTTTAAGGCAGGCGCAGCAGCACACACCCAGCACTCTGGGAGGCAGAGGCAAGCAGATCTGTGTGAATCTGAGGCCAGCCTGGTCTACAAAGTGAGTCCAGGGCAACCAGGGCTACACAGAGAGAAACTATGCTGGGGAGTAGGGGAGGAGGGGAGAAAGAAAGGCTGTTTTAGGCTGTGAAGCCTAACTGTTGCCTGAAGGGCTAGAGAAGAGAACGGAGCCAGCCTCTAGGAAAAGCAGCAACCCATGGAACATAATGACTTCAGCTGTGTAACTGAAGACTTTCAGTAACAACAGTAGTCCAGCAAGGGATACCATCAGGAAATACATGGACATGAGAGCCAACAAAGAATTAGAAAAGAGGTACTCTCTTGTCATTTCTGACTATCTTAAAATACACCCGAACCGGGGCTGGAGAGATGGCTCAGTGGTTAAGAGTACTGTGTGCTCTTCCAGCGCACCCGGGTTCAATTCCCAGCACCTACAACGGCAGCTCACAACTGTCTATAACTCCAGTGCCAGGGATTCTGGCCCTTCATACCAATGCACAGAGAATAAAATAAATAAACTTAAAAAAATACACCCGATCACGTCACCCACTAGACAGTTGTAGAGGCAAGGAGGAGCAGAATAGGAAGAGATCTCTGCAAAACTAGTTATGTAATAGGAAGCTCTTCCCACCCTGAAAACCCAGATCCCCTTTTGGTCTCTGGATTTGAAGGGAAGATTCTCTGTCTTGTACAACATTTTTCTCCAAGATTGAACCATTCCGTTCTTCAGGGAAGTTCCTTCAACAGGAAAGTAAACTCAAAGTAGCGTCAAGAAGTCCTTGAAACTGACCAGCCTCAGCAGGCCCCTCCCTGCCACAGTAAATAACAAAAGCTGAAACTCCCTCTCAGCCTGGTGAAGCTGAGCTGCTGCCTGGAAGAGGAGAAAGCTGCAAGGCAGACTCAGACCAGACCTGCCTTGGACGAAGCAAAACCCAGCTGAGCTGCTGGGAAGAGGCTGAGAGCAAAGGAGGCACCTGGAAAGGACATTCGCCAACCAGCTCACCTGTCTGCCTGCTGCACACTGTACTCACGGTTCCCAGCTCCGTGTGCTGTCACCCATGCTGGCTAGTGATACAGCTGTCTGAGTCATTTCTGCTCCTGTAAATAACCCCTCACCTGTATTCCTCAGTAACCCCAATAAAACTCATCGGTTCACCAGATTGGCCTTTGGTGGTGTTTGTGCTCTGGTCTGTTGGGGGTTCCTTATATGGGGTGAGTAGACATGTGGGTTGCATCTCCCCAGGAAATGTTTTTGTCAACACCCTTCAAGACCCCATGATGGCTGCCCATGGCTGTGGCTGTCCACCTTTACGAAGGAAGCTCCTCTTTGGACCTGAAGGCCTGCTGTCTCCTGCAGGGGCCCTCTCTTAACAAAGCTCTTCTGAAGGGTGATATGTGTCCATTCTTTCTCATGACTCTTCCAATGACAGAAAAAAGTAAGGGTTCCACTGAAATCCATGTTTATAAACCAGTGAGTTTATTAAGCTTCCTTACAGGTCCCATCATTCACTTCCTTAGTGACCTCGAACAGCTGAATCACTTTGTGATGACCTCATCATCTGCATCATCAAGTCTCAGTTTCAGTTCCTCCTCCACTTCTTATATACTCCAGAATCTCTCAAGATCACATGTACCTAGGAGGAGGGCCAGGAGTAACTAGAAGACCAGATGAGGGACCTATGGTCCTCCCATTTTTCTAATGAAGGAGTATCATTACCATTATTACAGACCTAGACTTTACTGTATTGTTCTGCCCAGTTAGTTACCATGGCCAACAGGCAATCTCTACTCCAAAATGGCTCTGGGAGTGTCATGCTATGTCTGGAGGAAAAGCAATACTACAACAGTTATCTTGTCAGGATGAGGAGCAAGCCTGAGATGGCCACCAGACCAGCAACAAGGGGCCTGGACAGGGAGCTTGCCTGAGATAACCGTCAGTCTGTCACAGCACAGGCCTAGGGGGGCAGACCACGCCTGAGATGACCCCTTCCCGGTGCCATAGTGCAAGAGCAGGATATTGTACTCCTGAGGTCACACTTGACAGAATCCCACTCAGAGACTCTAGGCGCCACTAAGAGGAGCAAGTAAGTGTTGGAGAAATAGAAGAGAAAAAAACAGAAGGATGTGGGCACAAAACAGAGAGGCAGAACTGGAGACTCGGACAGCCTGTGCTGCCACTAGGGGCCACATCCGGGTCTGTGGTACTGTGGCAGCAGGGTCTGTTACTACCAAAGGCCAGGAAGATTTCCCTGGTCCACCTGGGGACATGCTGATGTCTGAGGGCTGTGCTGAACTGGCCTTCCCCCTCACCTGGGCATCCTGGGAGAGCTGACTCTGGGGGCAGGAGAGCAGGAGAGCTGATCCTGCCCCTAGCCAGGTGGAATAATTGGGAAAGGAGGCCACGTACATTGCAGGAGTTTCAGGTGAGCCAGACCCAGGACAAACAGCTGAGGTGCCTTTTGAACCAAGGCAGACCTGACCTCCAGGTACTCCCAGCATCCCTCAGTCCCTACCTGTATGAGGCATAGCTGTCATACCCCACTATATAATCTAGACATTTCGGTTCCTCTCTTTCTCTCTCTGTGCCTCTCTCAGTATACACACTTTTCTGATTCTCCTTACGTGGTGACTTCCCTGCCCCCATTCATTGGGACCAGTGAACCCACCAAGAGCTGCTCCTAATAAACCTGTAATCTATATACTTTAACGTGCCTTGAATTAGCTCATTTCATCAGTCAATGATTCTTTGTTTTGTTTTGTTTCGTTTTTTGAGACAGGGTTTGTCTGTGTAGCTTTAACTGTCCTGGACTTACTTTATAAACAAGGTTGGCCTGGAACTCACAGAGAGCCGCCTGCCTCTGCCTCCCTGAATGCTGAGATTATAGGCATGTGCCACCACACAAGACTTCTGCCAATGATCCTATCACTGGCACACATCTCCTGTGCAATGGTGTGGATGAAAGAGATGTTGGAATTAAAGTTTTTTTTCTACTCCTGTTCTAGCACCCAAATAGTGATACAGAGACCTGTTACATTTATTAATAAACTCTAGAGATCTATAGCTTGTCAGATTCTCATCTATTCTAACCCATTGGCTAGGCTAGCCTGGCTATCTTATTACCTGTCCTCCAGTTTGCCCTGGCTACTCCTGTTCAATCTTTGTCCCCATGGCACCTCCCCCATGGTCCTTCACTCCTCTTGGCCCAGTGACCTTCTCCTCCCTCCCTCATTTTCTACCTAAGATCCCCAGAATGGGAATGGAAGTCCTGCCTACTGTCTCCTCTGCCCAGTCACGGGCTCTTCAGCTTCTTTATTAACCAATCAGAGATAATCAGGGAGTAATTTTTACACAACATTGAGACAGGATATTCCTCAAAAGCAACAACAATACCAGAATCTGTTAGCATTTAGCTCCCTGCTGTTTTAGCAATTAACAATTGAATATAAAGACACACCATAATACAATGTGAATGAAGGTCATTTCTACATTTGCAAGCAAGAAGTGTGGACAAAAGGGGACACGGTGAGACATGCTGTGACACACTATAGCTTCCACAAATTAATTTTTTTCCTCTGTAGGGGAGGAGGTAAGAGACCAAATAATTAAAAATTAAGGGTTTTTTTGGGTTACTGGATTAAAGTTTAAAGCAAAAGCCTGAACAAAGGCCAGACAGGTGGAGACATGTCCAGCCACCTGTGGGGAGGAACCAGCCTTACTACATTCTTTTCCTGCACACTAGAGATACAGTTGCTAGGAAACTGGCTCAGATCGCCCCTCTCCCCTAGAACAGCCAAACAAGGGAAGCCAGACCAGTAATGGTTTGGGGGCTGCCCCTCAGCCAATCAGTTCAAAATGCAACATCCCTTTTGCTTTTCAACCAATAGACACTTGCCAGACAGGAATTACCCTACTTTG